CTGGTATTCCCATCACTTAAAGAATTTTCCATAGTTTATTGTGATCTGCACAGTCAAAGGCTTTGGCATAGTCAATAAAACAGAAATAGATGTTTTTCTGGAACTCTGGCTTTTTTGATAATCCAATGGATATTGGCAATTTGATCTCTGGTTCCTCTGCCTTTTATAAAACCAGCTTAAACATCTGGAATTTCATAGTACATGTACTGTTGAAGCCTGGCTTGGAGACTTTTGAGCATTACTTTACTAGCATGTGAGATGAGTGCAATTGTGTAGTAGTTTGAACATTCTTTGGCATTGCGTTTCTTTGGGATTGGAATGAAAACTAATGTTTTCCAGCCCTATGGCCACTGCTGAGTTTTCCAAATTTCTTGGCATATTGAGTGTAGCACTTTCACAGCATCATCTCTTAGGATTTGGATTAACTCAGCTGGAATTCCATCACCTCCACTCGCTTTGTTTGTAGTGATGCTTCCTAAAGCCCACTTGACTTCACATTCCAGTATGTCTGGCTCTAGGTGAGTGATCACACCATCATGATTATCTGGGTCATGAAGATCTTTTTTGTTTAGTTCTGCTGTGTATTCTTGCCACCTCTTCTTAATGTCTTCTGCTTCTTTTAGGTCCATACCATTTCTGTCCTTTATTGTGCCCATCTCTGCATGAAATGTTCCCTGGTATCTCTAATTTTCTTGAAGAGATCTCTAGTCTTTCCCATTCTAATGTTTTCCTCTATTTCTTTGCACTGATCACTGAGGAAGGCTTTCTTATCTTTCCTTGCTTCTCTTTGGAACTTCACATTCAAATGGATGTATCTTTTCTTTTCTCCTTTGCTTTTTGCTTCTCTTCTTTTCACAGCTATTTGTAAGGCCTCCTCAGACAGCCATTTTGCTTTTTTGCATTTCTTTTTCTTGGGGATAGTCTTGCTCTCTGTCTCCTGTACAGTGTCATGAACCTCTGTCCATAGTTCATCCAGCACTCTATCATATCTAATCCCTTGAATCTATTTCTCACTTCCACTGTATAATAGTAAGGGATTTGATTTAGGACATACCTGAATGGTTTACTGGTTTTCCCTACTTGCTTCTATTTCAGTCTGAATTTGGCAATAAGGAGTTCATGGTCTGAGCCACAGTCAGCTTCCCATCTTTTTTTTTTTTTTTTTGCTGACTGTATAGAGCTTCTCCATATTTGGCCGCAAAGAATATAATCAGTCTGATTTCATTATTGACCATCAGGTGATGTCCATGTGTAGAGTCTTCTCTTGTGTTTTTGGAAGAAGGTATTTGCCATGAACAGTGAGTTCTCTTGGCAAAACTTTATTGTCCTTTGCCCTGCTTCATTCTGTACTCCAAGGCCAAATTTGCCTGTTAGTCTAGGTGTTTCTTGACTTCCTACTTTTGCATTCCAGTCCCCTATAATGAAAAGGACATCTATTTTGGGTGTTAGTTCTGGTGGCTTAGATGGTAAAGCATCTGCCTACAATGAGGAAGACCTAGGTTCAATCCCTGGGTCAGGAAGATCCCCTGGAGAAGGAAATGGCAACGCACTCCAGTATTCTTGCCTGGAAAATCTCATGGACAGTGGAGCCTGGTAGGCTACAGTCCATGGGATCGCAAAGAGTTGGACATAACTGAGTGATTTCACTTTACTTTCTGGAAGGTCTTGAAGGTTTTCATAGAACCAGTCAACTTCAGCTTCTTCAGCATTACTAGTCAGGGCATAGACTTGGATTACCGTGATATTGAATGGTTTGCTTTGGAAAGGAACAAAGATCATTCTGTCATTTTTGAGATTGTATCCAAGTACTGCATTTCAGACTCTTGTTGACTATGATGGCTACTCCATTTCTTCTAAGGGATTCTTGCCCACAGTAGTAGATATAATGGTCATCTGAGTTAAATTCACTCATTCCAGTCATTTTGTTTTGCTGATTCCTAGAATGTCGACGTTCACTCTTGCCATCTCATGTTTGACCACTTCCAATTCATGGACCCAACATTCCAGTTTCCTATGCAATATTGCTCTTTACAGCATCGGACTTTGCTTCTATCACCAATCACATCCACCACTGCGTGTTGTTTTGCTTTGGCTCCATCTCTTCATTCTTTCTGAAGTTATTTCTCCACTGATCTCCAGTAGCACATTAGGCACCTACCGACCTGGGTAGTTCATCTTTCAGTGTCCTATCTTTTTGCCATTTCATACTCTTCATGATGTTCTCAAGGCAAGAATACTTCAGTGGTTTGCCATTGATTCTCCAGTGGACCGTGTTTTGTAAGAACTCTCCACCATTACCCACTTGTCTTGGGTGGCCCTACACGGCATGGCTCATAGTTTCATTGAGTTAGACAATGCTGTGGTCCATGTGATCAGATTGGTTAATTTTCTGTGATTGTGGTTTTCAGTCTGTCTGCCCTCTGATGAAGATGGATAAGAGGCTTATGGAAGTTTCTTGATGGGAGAGACTGACTAAGAAGGAAAGTGGAGAAGCTTAGAAGGCTTAAAAAATGTTTCTTGTATATTAAAATGTAGCTTCTTTTGATAGATTTTTCATTCCTGAAATCTGAAACTAGTCTTTCTGGTGATAAAAAATCATTGTCAGTTTTTAAGTATGTGAATGCTGTTTAATCAGTTCAGTTTTTTCTAGAAAAAAAAATTCAATTTGAAGATTATTCAGACTTTTAATCCAGACTCTGTGTTTTTGGTCTTTTGGGCGTTTTACTTAATCACTTGTAACTTTTTTTTTTTTGACACAGCAGTTACTATTTTCTTAACACTCAGCATATGTAAAGACCCACAGACACTCTAAGTCTCTCAGGAACATGACCTGTGACCAGCATGTGGAGTACTTTGTCCTTCACCCTTGAGTTGGATTATGTGTTGTCACATATACCTTCATTTTTTATATTTTTCTTTCAATAGAAATACTTTATTGCCCTGTTTAGCCAGGACCCGTAATGCATGTATCATGTATAAAGTTGAGGCTTTATCACTCTGACCCATGGTGTCATAATTAATTTCTTTATTACCCATTTTTTTTTGTTGGTTTTGAATTAAAGCTCTCTGTAGAGCTTTGAAGATTACTTATAAGAGTTAATTTACCAAGAGTGACTTCTTAATATAAAGTGCCTCTTTGCTTGCTGAGCATTACTGAGGTTCATTCCATCAAATGAAAATGGAGAGATTAGTGGAGATTTCAAATTATTTAGGGCTTCTTTTATAGCTCAGTTGGTAAAATATCCATTTGCAATACAGGAGACCCCAGTTCGATTCCTGGTTTGGGAAGATCCCCTGGGGAAGGAATAGGCTACCTGTCCAGTATTCTTGGGCTTCCCTTGTGGCTCAGTTGGTAAAGAATCCTCCTGAAATGTGGGAGACCTGGGTTCAATCCCTGGATTGGGAAGATCCCCTAGAGAAGGGAAAGACTATCCACTCCTGTATTCTGGCCTAGAGAATTCCATGGACTTTATAGTCCATGGGATCGCAAAGAGTTGGGACACGACTGAGCGACTTTCACTTTCAATTTATTTATTTAGTAAAGGGCCAGGCATGCTGGGTACTTATGTGTTGGTCTTTTGAAAAGTTTCATCGTCTAATTCATATTCATATAACAAGTGTTCTGCCTGTTGCTGGATATCAGGAAGGCTAGGATTACCTTGAGATGGCAGAATCACAGCTTTAATGAGAGCCCATAGGATCCAGAGATCTACTGGAATGTTTCTTCCCCATCTAGTGGCTTGTTTAACATTCTCTTTAACCGAGTTCCAAATTTCTATATCAAAACTGCCGTCGTCAGGGAACCAGGGATTATATTCAACCAAGGCATGCCTCTATGTGTTGATGTGAAACCAAAAGTCCTTGAAAAGAAAAATGGTGGGGCTTTCCAGCCGTTTGTCCCATAACCCTGCACTTAACTGACCTCAATAGGTCCCAGTCACTCTGGCCTGAATACCACAAATTCCAGGTCCCTGTTTCGGGCACCACTTGTTGGTCTTTGATATAGACTGGGAAACTGGTCTATAAAAGAAAGAGAGAGAGAGTGCAGTATCTCTCGGGTTACGTGGAAAACCAATAAAGCCCATGCACAGGACTTGTACCACTCACGAAGGCACAGGGCGTCCTCTCAAGGAGGTCTTGAAAGCCCGGGTGAGAGAGTGAGCTTGGCAGGTTTCCACTCTGAAGAGAATTAAGACAGAAAGAAGGATGTGGGGGACCCAAGCCTCTAGTGGAGCAAGGGTATTTCATTAGCAGAAGTGCAGGCTTATATATCTTTAATAAAATGATTACTCAGCCATTACAAAGGATGACATTCCATCATTGCAACAAAATGGATAGTCTAATACATACGAGGTCGCTGACATTGAAGAGTCGCTAAAGGGAGCTACTGAAAGGAACCCAAGCGGGTACCCTTTCCCGTGATCTCAGGCCTGAGAACGGCGTGAAGCGCTGCTTGTTCCTGGAATAGGAACTGACCCTTGAGAGTCCTTGAGAAATGGCACACAAAGGAGAAGAGTGCAACATATTGGATTCCTGAAAGTTGAACGTTCCCTGACACCTGTGCTGCCGCTTTGTGGAGATTAATGAGACCGCTAAAACCACGGGTCATGATGAAAACTTACAAACGATGAAAAACCTTCCACATTGGATACTGTGTTAAGTACGCTATTTTAATAAACTAGCGTGCATCATTCAGTTTGCATGTCAGGGAGGTGCCTTGTCATCTCTGCTACTAAATTTTGTGGGTGTCTAGAGCTGTTTCTGTATGAGAATCTGATAAAAGAAGGAGGCTTTCTAAAGGCAACTTAAAACTACTTCAAACCACCTAAGACATAGGATTGGATGAAAAGGTCTTTGGGACACAGTATGTTAAAATAGGAAAAAAAAATGGGAGTTAATGTTAGGATATCAGTGACTATTACATTATTTTCTCTACTTTTTAAAGTAATGTGTATTACTTTATTGAAATGGGTACATTTTTTATAAACTTTAACTTGCAGGAATCAGAAACCCCAACCCTACAAGGCCTTTCCTTTACTGTCAGACCCGGTGAACGGTTAGCTGTGGTCGGACCTGTGGGAGCAGGAAAGGTAAGTTGTGATGCCTTTTGTCAGCTTGATGTAATACCACAGCCTCTGTTCAGTCCTCAGAGTGGAGCCCAGAGCTGAGTGTGACTCAGTTTGAGTTTGAATTGGGTGTCTCTAGAAAGGTTTTTCTCTAGGAACATTAGTTTTGCAAAAAGGTTTCATGGCCTACTACATCAGGATAAATGCACATTGTGTTTTCCTTCTTAATGCTTCATGTGACATACTTGGGAACTGCTCATGGGGAGTTTGGACATCTCAGTGAAGGAGATTATTTATGTGGCAGCTGTTCAGGATGGATGGAGACAGTCGGGACTTCTTTTTGTCACAGTGGCCCCTCCAGGAAGTTTGGAGGTGGTGAAGGCTCTTCCAGGAAACTCTGAGCATTTCTTCACATGACTTGACTTGGTCCCATCAGTGCACATATAGGGAATGTGCAACCACGTGCTGGAGCTAAAGGTATAGACATGAGCCAGACCTTGACACCTCTGCCCTCCAGAGGCAACCAGGTTCTGGGGCAAGACAGATATGCAGGCAGACTATTTCAGCCCAGTGTGGTGAGTGCTCTTATGGCGTGGGCATAGGCATGTCATTTCTCTGTGTTACAGGAGATGTGAAGGACATGTACATGTGCACTTAGTGTCCTGTGTTTTGTTCTATAAAATACAGAAACCTAAATGTGGGATGTGCACACGAGAGGGTGATGACTTCCTCCATGAAGGACTTTTTAAAAAATTTATTTTTAATTGGAGGATAATCGCTTTACAATATTGTGTTGGTTTCTGCCATACATCAATATGAATCAGCCATAGGTATACATATGTTTCCTCTCTCCTGAACCTGTTTCCCACCTCTCATCCCATCCTACCCTCCTAGGTTGTCACAGAGCCCAGGATTTGAGTTCCCTGGGCATGATGGACTTCTGTTCTTCAAATACAACAACCTCAGAGTTCTTTTAAATAGCAATCTTTGGATATATTCTTCACACATAGTTAATTTTTTAAATATACTTATTTATGTATTTGGTTGCATTGGGTCTTTGTTGCAGTGCATAGCATCTCTAATTGTGGCATGTGGGCTCAGTTGCCCTGGGCATGTGGGATATTAGTTCCCCCACCAGGGGACCAGGGATCTAACCAGAGCCTCTGGCACTGGAAGGTGGATTCTCCTTGGTTTTTTAGTGTTTATTATCTGGATATAATTATTGTTTTTTTTTAACATTTTATTTTGTACTGGGGTATAGCCAATTAACAATGTTGTGATAGTTTCAGGTGAACAGTGAAGGGTATATGTCAGCCATACATATACATGTACCCATTCTCCCCCAAATTCCCCTCCCATCCAGGCTGCCACACAACATTGAATAGAGTTCCATGTGCTGTACAGTAGGTCCTTGATGGTGATTCGTTTTACATACCGCAGTGTGTACCTGTCCATCCGGAACTCCCTAACTGTCCCTTTCCCCCCAACCTGGAAGGTGGGTTCTTAACCACTGGACCACCAGGGAAGCCCCACATAGCTTTTTAAGAACAAGTATTGTCAAGTAAAAGATATCCAGGTGCAGGAACAACTGCATTAAACATCAGATACAGAAAATATACATCCTGCTTGTCTGCTCTGCTAGAGAAGGATGTTAAACATTCTTAGTCTTTGCTGAGTAGAGCATTTCATCTGAGGGAACTCAGGCAGAGTAGATTGTTATCATGTTAATATTCCTTATCAACCTTTAGTTTAAGAGTTGACCAGTAATGCTCTGTTCCATTTTTTTTTTCTGCAGTATCTAAAGCTTTACTTTATACACTTCTGATATCCTGTATCAAGCACCAGGGTGGGGTCGGTTGTGCTGCGGGGCATGTTCCTTGCTGAGTGCACCTTGTTCACGTGTGTGTGTTGCCGTCTATTTCAGTCCTCACTGTTAAGCGCTCTGCTGGGGGAGCTGCCCCCAAGCCAGGGGAAGGTCAGCATGCTCGGGAGGATCGCATATGTTTCTCAGCTGCCCTGGGTGTTTCCAGGAACTGTGAAGAGTAACATTTTATTTGGGAAGAAATATGAAGAAGAACGATATGAAGAAGTAATAAAGGCTTGTGCTTTGAAAGAGGTGAGTAATGACTCTTGAGTTGCATGTAGTAGAATTTCAAATAATGATAACATTGATTTAAGCTCTAAAGTTTGTTAAAAGTTCTTTTTTTTTAATTTGAAAGGTCTTATATGTTGCTTTAAGCTGGACTTCTGGGTAAGTACGCAGTCATATACATTGTTGTTTTAATTCTGGTGTGATAATGATGGTCACAGAATGCCTTTGTTTCATTTGGTGAAGTATCTTTCACTTTTAGATTCTTTTTTAATGGACAATTAACAAAAATTTGTAAGAATAGAGAGCACTGTGTAATGAACCCTCATGTTCCCACCCCCAGGTTCAGCCAGGGTCAGCTGGCGGCCAGTCTTGCTGGATCTTTAACCCTGCCCTGTGCCACCCCTCCACACAACCCCACCACCCCATCCCCCTGGGTTCTAAAGCAAATCCTATATCTCAGATAAGTTCATCTGTAAACATTTCATTGTTGTTGTTGTTCAGTCCCTAAGTCTTGTCCAACTCTTTTCAACTCCATGGACTGCAGCAGGCCAGGCCTCCCTGTCCTTCACCGTCTCCTGGAGCTTGCTCAAACTCATGTTCATCGAGTCGGTGATGCCATCCAACCGTCTAATCCTCTGTTGTTCCCTTCTCCTCCTGCCCTCAGTCTTTCCCAGTGTCAGGGTCTTTTCCTGTGAGTTGGCACTTCGTATCAGGTGGCCAGAGTATTGGAGATTCAGCTTTAGCATCAGTCCTTCCAATGAATATTTAGGGTTGATTTCCTTTAGGATGGACTGGTTTGATCTCCTTGCAGTCCACAGGACTCTCAAGAGTCTTCTCTAGCACCACAATTCAAAAGTATCAATTCTTCAGCACTCTGCCTTCTTTATGGTCCAACTCTCACATCCATACATGACTAGTGGAAAAACCATAGCTTTGACTCTATGAACCTTTGTTGGCAAAGTGATGTCTCTGCTTTTTAATATGCTTTTTAGGTTTGTCACAGCTTTTCTCCCAAGGAGCAAGCATCTTTTAATTTCATGGCTGCAGTCACTGTCTGCAGTGATTATTTGAGCCCAAGAAAATAAAATCTGTCACTGTTTCTACCTTTTCCCCATCTATTTGCCATGAAGTAATGAGGCCAGTTGCCACATAAATCATAAACAAACATATTCTGTTACCATAAGCAATATAGTATGTAACATTTGCATATTGTCATTAACCAGTTTTTAAAACTTTTTTTTCATTTATTTTTATTAGTTGGAGGCTAATTACTTTACAATATTGTAGTGGGTTTTGTCATACATAAAGAATTCATTTGAATCAGTTCTAATGAGATGGATGAAACTGGAGCCCATCATACAGAGTGAAGTAAGCCAGAAAGATAAAGAACATTACAGCATACTAACACATATATATGGAATTTAGAAAGATGGTAATGATAACCCTATATGCAAAACTTAAGTTTTTTTTTAAACAAGTTTTTATAAAAACTTTTAAGGATTTTTAAAAGTTTTAGGCATTACCTAGTTAAAGGTCAGAGAAGGCAAGTAAAGGTAACATGTTGATAAATTCTAGTTTGATAATTTCCCATATAGATTGCTTGACCTTACAAAGCCCTCTTGGATGCCTGTAAGTTTATACTTTCATCTCATATTTGCACATTCCTGGAAAATTGGACATTTTCTTTTCAGGTTGCCTTGACAATCATAGATAATAAGATCCTTCTGTGTCTAGGTATAGAGACCTTCCAGACTTGAGTTATTTTAGTGTTGCCTTCATTTCAGATACAATCTTCGGTCACTCCCTGGGCCGTGTGATGTGAAAGAGCAAAAGGCTATGAAGTGGTTCAAAAGGACATGATCTGGTTCAGATTCCAGTTCTTCTGTTTAACAGCTGACCGTCCTCAGACCAGTGATGTGACCTCACTCAGTCTCAATTTCCTCATCTGTGAAATGGGGCCAGTGCTTCCTGTGAGCTTGTTGCGAGGATTAGAGATAATCAGCAATCAGGGTCCAGCACAGAGCTTGGTGCACAGATCTTACCCCCAGGAGCTGACAGAAGCTGTGTGCATGTGTGCAAATGATGGAGCAGAATAAGACGGTCTTTCATGAGAGATGAGAGTTGTAAACAGAGCCTTAGGAACCCAGCAGGTAGAGATGAGTCCAGGATGGTTTCATGGGAGAGTGTGCTTGGGATGAGCCTGGGAGAATGGGCAGGATATGACAGGCCATGAGAGGAGGTGCGATTCCACGTGGAAGGAAAGCTGTGAAGGAAGCAGGGCTCCTGTTGCTTGACTCTCGAGTCCAGCCCTCCTCTGCCAGGGCCTCACATCTGGCCCACATTTACCATTTCAGCAGCCTGCTCCATGGTGTCTCTACTGTGAGTCTCCAACATCGCTGAAGGCCCTTGATGTGCTTCTGGATGGATGGCATCAAATCTGCTTTGCCATTTCCTAGTTTGCCTCTAGTGTGTGTGTCTGCTGTTCAGTGAGAACTGGGGAAACTGAACTTAAAGGAAAATAATGTGAATAAGAACACCTTTATGTCAGTAGGGGGAATTGTAGTCTATACTCAAGTCAGGCTTTTCCCTTTAACCTAATTGGAAAATGGTGGCTAGGAATTTAGCCTGACTCAGATTTTGTTGCAAATCCTGTGAAATGATTTTCCCATTTGGGACTGGTCCATAAATAATGTTCAGAGTCAACAACACAGTTGCAGTCTTGCTACCAGACTCAGAGAGAGCCTGTTTCTTGTGCCCTAACTGTGCTAATTGAATGAGTGGATTTAGGTGCTTTTTCTAGAACATGGTTAAGTTTGCTGTGCTATGACGTGTTACTATTTTGTTAAGCAAAATGAAACAATGTAGAATCAAAGCATAAAAGCTAAGTGGAACAGTTTGCAAGGACTTCGACAGTGAAACAGAGGCGAATAACTGTATGTGTATATGTGTGTGTGTGTATGAATGTAGGGCTGGAAACCTGTTTAAAATGGCTCATTGCAATCCCACTTCTGGGCATACACACCGAGGAAGCCAGATCTGAAAGAGACACATGCACCCCAATGTTCATCGTAGCACTGTTTGTAATAGCCAGGACATGGAAGCAACCCAGATGCCTATCTGCAGATGAATGGATAAGGAAGCTGTGGTACATATACACCATGGAATATTACTCAGCCATTAAAAAGAATTCATTTGAATCAGTTCTAATGAGATGGATGAAACTGGAGCCCATTATACAGAGTGAAGTAAGCCAGAAAGATAAAGACCATTACAGTATACTAACACATATATATGGAATATGTGATTCTTCCTTCTCTAATTGCTTTAGATGTAGAGTTAGGTTATTTATTTGGCTTTTTTCTTGTTTCTTAATGTAAGCCTGTAATGCTATGAATCTTCCCCTTAGCACTACTTTTACAGTGTCCCATAGGTTTTGGGTTGTTGTGTTTTCATTTTCATTCATTTCTATGCATATTTTGATTTCTTTTTTGATTTCTTCTATGATTTGTTGGTTATTCAGAAGCGTGTTATTTAGCCTCCATATGTTTGAATTTTTAACAATTTTTTTTCCTGTAATTGAGATCTAATCTTACTGCACTGTGATCAGAAAAGATGACTGGAATGATTTCAATTTTTTTGAATTTCCCAAGGCTAGATTTATGGCCCAGGATGTGATCTATTCTGGAGAAGGTTCCATGTTTATTTGAGAAAAAGGTGAAGTTGATTGTTTTGGGGTGAATTGTCCAATAGATATCAATTAGGTCTAGCTGGTCCATTGTGTCATTTAAAGATTGTGTTTCCTTGTTAATTTTCTGTTTAGTTGATCTATCCATAGTTGTGAGTGGGGTATTAAAGTCTCCCACTATTATTGTGTTGCTATTAATTTCCTCTTTCATACTTGTTAGCGTTTGCCTTACATATTGCGGTGCTCCTATGGTCGGTGCATATATATTTATAATTGTTATATCTTCTTCTTGGATTGATCCTTTGATCATTATGTAGTGTCCTTCTTTGTCTCTTTTCACAGACTTTATTTGAAAGTCTATTTTATCTGATATGAGTATTGCGACTCCTGCTTTCTTTTGTTCTCCGTTTGCGTGAAATATTTTTTTCCAGCCCTTCACTTTTAGTCTGTATGTGTCTCTTGTTTTGAGGTGGGTCTCTTGTAGACAGCATATATAGGGGTCTTGTTTTTGTATCCATTCAGCCAGTCTTTGTGTTTTGGTTGGGGCATTCAACCCATTTACATTTAAGGTAATTATTGATAGGTATGGTCCCGTTGCCATTTACTTTGTTGTTTTGCATTCACGTTTATACACCCTTTCTGTGTTTCCTGTCTAGAGAAGATCCTTTAGCGTTTGTTGAAGAACTGGTTTGGTGATGCTGAATTCTCTCAGCTTTTGCTTGTCTGTAAAGCTTTTGAATTCTCCTTCATATCTGAATGAGATCCTTGCTGGGTACAGTAATCTAGGTTGTAGGTTATTCTCTTTCATTACTTTAAGTATGTCCTGCCATTCCCTTCTGGTCTGGAGGGTTTCTATTGATAGATTAGCTGTTATCCTTATGGGAATCCCTTTGTGTGTTATTTTTTGTTTCTCCCTTGCTGCTTTTAATATTTGTTGTTTGTATTTGATCTTTGTTAATTTGATTAATATGTGTCTTGGGGTGTTTCGCCTTGGGTTTATCCTGTTTGGGACTCTCTGGGCTTCTTGGACTTGGGTGGCTATTTTCTTCCCCATTTTAGGGAAGTTTTCAGCTATTATCTCCTCAAGTATTTTCTCATGGCCTTTCTTTTTGTCTTCTTCTTCTGGGACTCCTGTGATTCGAATGTTGGGGCATTTCACATTGTCCCAGAGGTCCCTGAGGTTGTCCTCATTTCTTTTGATTCTTTTTTCTTTTTTCCTCTCTGCTTCATTTATTTCCACCATTTTTCTTCTACCTCACTTATCCTATCTTCTGTCTCTGTTATTCTATTCTTGGTTCCCTCCAGAGTGTTTTTGAGCCCATTTACTGCATTATTTATTTTTAATTGAGTCTTTTTTATTTCTTCTAGGTCTTTATTAAACATTTCTTGCATCTTCTCAATCTTTGTCTCCAGGCTATTTATCTGTAACTCCATTTTATTTTTAAGATTTTGGATCATTTTTATTATCATTATTCTATATTATTTTTCAGGTAGATTCCCTATCTCCTCCTCTTTTGTTTGACTTGGTGGGCATTTTTCATGTTCCTTTACCTGTTGGGTATTTCTCTGCCTTTTCATCTTGTTTAGATTGCTGTGTCTGGAGTGGGCTTTCTGTATTCTGGAGGTCTGTGGTTCGTTTTTATTGTGGAGGTTTCACCCAGTGGGTGGGGTTGGACGATTGGCTTGTCAAGGTTTCCTGGTTAGGGAAGCTTGCGTCGGTGTTGTGGTGCGTGGAGCTGGATTTCTTCTCTCTGGAGTGCAATGGAGTGCCCAGTAATGAGTTTTCAGATGGGTCTATATGTTAGGTATGACTATGGCAGCCTGTAAGTTGACACTCAGGGCTATGTTCCTGCGTTGCTGGAGAATTTGCATGGTATGTCTTGCTCTGAAACTTCCTGGCTCTTGGGTGGTGATTGGTTTCAGTGTAGGTATGGAGGCTTTTGGATGGTCTCTTATTGCTTAGTGTTCCATGTAGTCAGGAGTTTTCTGCTCAGGTTTTGGGCTTAAGTCTCCTGCCTCTGGATTTCAGTTTTATTCTTCCAATAGTCTCAAGACTTCTCCAATTATACAGCACTGATAATGAAACTTCTAGGTTAATGGTGAAAAGATTCTTTACTGTGAGGGACACCCAGAGAGGTTCACAGAGTTACATGAAAAAGAGGAGAGGGAGGAGGGAGATAGAGATGAGCAGGAGGAGAAAAAGGGGGACTCAAGAGGAGAGAGACAGATCTACGCAGGTGTCTGTTCCCAAAGTGTTCTCCGTAGCCCAGACACCCACAGAGATTCACAGAAGTGGATTGAGAAGAGAAGGGGAAAGGAGGAAACAGAGGTGTTCTGAGGTAGGAAACAGAGGTGTTCTGAGGTAGAAAACAGAGAGTCAAAAGTGGGAGAGAATAATCAACACCCTTCTGAGTAAAAATGGGAACTGAAGATTGGCTTCTTAAATGTCCAAAATTTATATCACATACTGAAAAACAAAGATTAAAAATCTAGAGTAGAGGTTAGACTCTTAAAAATGCAATGCTAAAAACAAAAACACAAAAAATTTTAGAAATATATATGAAGTTCAGTTTAAAAATAGGGCTTCTCAAAAATAAATAAATAAATAAAATTAAAATGAAAATAGGGCTTCTCTCTTTTGATTTTGCAAGGTTATAGTGAAATGAAAATGAAACTTAAGGAGTAGTAGAGGAGTAATAGAGGACTTTAAAAGAAAATAAGAAAAAAAGAAAACAAGAAAAATAATTTTTTTTCGCTAATTAAACAAATCGTAAAAATATATGAAAATGAAAGTTAAGGAGTAATGGGGGAGTAATAGGGAATTTTAAAAGAAAATAAAAGAGAAAAAATAGAAAAGAAAAGAAAAAAATATATTTTAATTAAAAAAAAAGTAAAAATATATCTAGGAATTTCTCTGGAACTGTTGCGGTCAGTGTGGGTTCGGTTGAGCTTCAGATAGCTCCTCGTTCCAGCTTACACTTCTCAATATCTATAGGCCCCTTCTGGTGTAGTCAGTGTTATCTACAGTGATTTTAATCTGTTGCACCAGTCCCTTCTGAAGCAGTTCCCATTGTTTATTTGGCTTCTGTTTGCTGGTCTCTTCAGTGCCTAATTTCTGCCCTGACACAGGCAGGCGGAGGCGGTCTCTTGTTCAGGTTCCCTAGTTCCATCGCGCTGCGGGGAGGCGGGGGCGCTGTTTTCCCCGTCTATGCTGCTCAGGCTCCCGGCTGCTCTATATGGAGCGTGCCCTGCCGTTGCCTGCGGTTCTAGTTTTCGGGTACTCGACAAAAGTGCGGACTCAGTTGTGCCTGCGTCTTGTGCCTTCCCCGGCCCGAGCAGCTCAGGCAGCCAGGAGCTTGATGGGCGCACTCTCTCCGGGTGAGGTGCACCTTCTCCCCTCCACGGCCCCAGCCTTAGTTTCCACCCGCGCCCGGTGCGTGCGCCCTGTGTTTAGCTGCGACCCTCCCAGCAGAAGAAACTGAAGGCCTGTTTGCAGTTTGGTAGGGGATGCCGTCTTTGGGGCCGAGTTTGCCCCTTTCCCCTCCCCCCTGCCTCTTGCCTCTGGCGGGGCTGGGCCGGTCCGCAGCCGGCTAGCTCCTCTGGACTTGCTCAGACTCTTTGTTCTGCGAACAGCCGGCAGTGTGTTCGGGCCGGTTAATTGTCTCTCTCTCTTTTGCTGTCCTACAGTTTAAGTTGGTATCTCACAAAAGCTCCCTCCGATTGCCCTCAGGGCACTCAGGCCTGGTCCTTACCCTAAACAATGCCGCCCACTCTTCTCTGTTCTGCCCCCACTTGCTGGTGGCGGATGCCGAGTCTGGGGTACTTTTCTGCTGGGAGTTCCTTTTAGGCACGTAATCTGTGGGTTTGTTTTATTCATTCATTCATTCATTCATTCATTCATTATTCCCAGTTAGGATAGCAAACTTATTTTATAAGTGCATCCTGCTGAGTTTAACTACATAGTTTATACCCAGAAACAAATCTTCCCTAAAAACAGTGTTATATTTTAACAGTGATTGTGAATAACTTTGAACAGATTTTGTGAAAGGCTCTGTATCTTTGTTAATGACTAGCTAAGCCAAGGTTGGGTTTCCTCCGTGTGCTTAGTATATGGTTAGTTAGTGGTCATAATCAGAATAGTCACATATTTTTGCATGACATGTAGAAGGACAGAGATAGGTGCTACCTGATTTCTGTAGGATCCAGTCTCAGTAATGAGGAGATAAAATTCTAGCCTCACTGATTTCCAATCCCAGCTCTGCCTTGTAGTTCAATTATCTTGAAGTTGAAGGTGGAGGCATCCTGCAGGTCATTGGAAGTAAGAGTCTGGTGTTCGAGGGAGAGACCTGGGATGAGCAAGAAGCCTATGTATTTTTCACTGAGCAGGTAGTAACTGAATCTGTGAAGATGAAAACCCAGGGAGAGTGAAGCACTTTTAGGGGTCAAGATAAGAAGGCTGGATACTCAAAGAGAAAGCAGAGAGAAAGGGGAGGAGAGGAGACACACAATGAATAGCAAGGGAGAAAGGAGGAAGTAGGTTGGGGAGCCAAGGAAGGATGAGTCTGTTCAACTCAAATAACAGGGTGAGTCCCTGGAAAATTGTCAGTTGATTTCAAATCAGGAGGCTTCTGGTGACTTGCGGAATAGGCTTCAGATGGGAGGAGGCCAGACTGCAAAGGGCTGCAAATCCAGGAGGCGTGGAGGGAGTTGAGGTGAAGACAGGCTACTTTTGGAAGGAGTTTGAGTGAAGCAGGAGAGAGGTCCATCTGGAATGTAGGGTCTGAGGATATATTGCTGGTTGTTTGGATTTCAAGTTTGTGAGTTAGGTGTGTGTGAGGTTGTGAGGATATTTCCCTCTCTCCCTCCTTCCTTTCAACAAACGGGATAGATTTGAGGTCCTGAGGTACAGGTGTGAGTCAGGCCTGAAGCCCTCCCCTCATGGGTCTCCTCCAGTCCCCCAGGGGAGGGAGACATCTAGAAACTCACCCCTTGATGCCTTTGGACTCCTAATTGTGGGAGCTCTGTCAAAAAATAAAGATCATGGCATCTAATCCCATCACTTCATGGCAAATAGATGGGGAAACGATGGAAACAGTGACAGAGTTTATTTTCTTGGGCTCCAAAATCACTGCAGATGGTGACTACAGCCATGTAATTAAAAGACGTTTGCTCCTTGGAACAAAAGCAATGACAAACCTAGACAGTGTATTAAAAGCAGAGATATTACTTTGCCAACAAAGGTCCATCTAGTCAAAGCTGTGGTTTCTCCAGTAGTCATGTATGGATGTGACAGCTGGACCATAAAGAAAGCTGAGTGCCGAGAAATTGATGCTTTTGAACTGTGGTTAGGAGAAGACTCGTGAGAATCCCTTGGACAGCAAGGAGATCAAACCAGTCAATCCCAAAGGAAATCAACCCTGACTCTTCATTGGAAGGACTGATACTGAAGCTGAAGCTCCAGTACTTTGGCCAGCTGATGTAAAGAGCCAACTCACTGGAAAAGACCCTGATGCTGGGAAATATTGAAGGCAGGAGGAAAAGGGGATGACAGAGGATGAGATGGTTGAATGTTATCACTGACTCAAGGGACATGAGTTGGGGCAAACTCTGGGAGATGGTGAAGGACAGGGAAGCCTGGTGTGCTGCAGTCCATGGGGTCACAAAAAGTCAAACTCAGGTTAGCAAGTGAACAAGAATACTGAGAAAGTTCTTATCATAGTGTTTGGTTCATATAATAAACATCATGAGGACCTCCTATAGTTTTATTTCTTAGGATGCAAAAGCATTCCTTACTGTTTCAACAAGTCTTTGAGCGAAGAAGTTTAATCCTAACAAAACACCCCATTAAATTTTGAAAAGTGTCCTTCCTAAGGAGCCCTCTGTATTTATTTTTGCCATTTCAGACATTTCTACTTGGGATCGGTGTGACGGGTGTCATGGTGGCTGTGATTCCTTGGATTGCTATACTTGTGATTCCCTTTGGCATGATTTTCTTTGTTGTCCAGTGGTATTTCTTAAGGACATCACGAGATGTGAAATGCCTGGAATCTGCAGGTGAGTACTGGGGCTCTCAGGTTGGGATGGCAATGCAGGCTGGCTTCCATTTATGCTGTAATTAACCATACCCCTGAAATTCCAGAGAGTCTATCTTCAGGAATTTCTCACTAAGTTGACGTTATATAATTGAATTTGATGGCCACTGTGTCAGTGTGGCCCTTAGCAAGTCAGCTGCAGCTTTGCATTTTACCACAAAGAAGATGAATGTGAGCACAGTGAGGACAGGGACCATTCTGTCTTGTTTATGACATACTGTCTAACAGATTATCCAGTCTATAAATACTTTCCTTAAAAATGAAACATTTCTTCATGTTGGAACTAATGTAGAAGGAAAATGGGAGCTTTTCTTGTCCTGAAGATGACATTTTTTCTTCTCCTACTAGAGATGACATGGATAGTAAAAGATTAAGAAAAGGAAAGGAGACATTAAGGAAATGTATGTCAGAAGTGATATATTTGAAAAATGCATTCATTAACATGTCCAATAATACACCACATTAACAAATTGAAAGATAAAAACCATATGATTATCTCAATAGATGCAGAAAAAGCCTTTGACAAAATTCAACATCCATTTATGATTAAAACTCTCCAGAAAGCAGGAATAGAAGGAACATACCTCAAGATAATAAAAGCTATATATGACAAACCCACAGCAAGCATCACCCTCAATGGTGAAAAATTGAAAGCATTTCCCCTGAAATCAGGAACAAGACAAGGGTGCCCACTCTCACCACTCCTATTCAACATAGTTTTGGAAGTTTTGGCCACAGCAATCAGAGCAGAAAAAGAAATAAAAGGAATCCAGATAGGAAAAGAAGAAGTGAAACTCCCGCTGTTTGCAGATGAAATGATCCTCTACATAGAAAATCCTAAAGACTCTACCAGAAAATTACCAGAGCTAATCAACGAATACAGTAAAGTTGCAGGATATAAAATTAACACACAGAAATCTCTTGCATTCCTATACACTAACAATGAGAAAACAGAAAGAGAAATTAAGGAAACAATACCATTCACCATTGCAACAAAAAGAATAAAATACTTAGGAGTATATCTACCTAAAGAAACAAAAGACCTATACATAGAAAACTATAAAACACTGATGAAAGAAATCAAAGAGGACACAAACAGATGGAGAAATATACCGTGTTCATGGATTGGAAGAATCAATATTGTCAAAACGGCTATACTACCCAAAGCAATTTACAGATTCAATGCAATCCCTATCAAACTACCAACGGTATTTTTCACAGAACTAGAACGAATAATTTCACAATTTGTATGGAAATACAAAAAACCTCGAATAGCCAAAGTAATCCTGAGAAAGAAGAATGGAACTGGAGGAATCAATCTGCCTGACTTCAGACTATACTACAAAGCCACAGTCATCAAGACAGTATGGTACTGGCACAAAGACAGAAATATAGATCAATGGAACAGAATAGAAAGCCCAGAGATAAATCCACGAACCTATGGTCACCTTATCTTCGACAAAGGAGTCAAGGATATACAATGGAAAAAAGACAACCTCTTTAACAAGTGGTGCTGGGAAAACTGGTCAACCACCTGTAAAAGAATGAAACTAGAACACTTTCTAACACCATACACAAAAATAAACTCAAAATGGATTAAAGATCTAAATGTAAGACCAGAAACTATAAAACTCCTAGAGGAGAACATAGGCAAAACACTCTCCGACATAAATCACAGCAGGATCCTCTATGACCCACATCCCGGAATTTTAGAAATAAAAGCAAAAATAAACAAATGGGACCTAATGAAACTTAAAAGCTTTTGCACAACAAAGGAAACTATAAGCAAGGTGAAAAGACAGCCCTCAGATTGGGAGAAAATAATGGCAAATGAAGCAACAGACAAAGGATTAATCTCAAAAATATACAAGCAACTCCTCCAGCTCAACTCCAGAAAAATAAATGACCCAATCAAAAAATGGGCCAAAGAACTGAACAGACATTTCTCCAAGGAAGACATACAGATGGCTAACAAACACATGAAAAGATGCTCAACATCACTCATTATCAGAGAAATGCAAATCAAAACCACAATGAGGTACCATTACACACCAGTCAGGATGGCTGCTATGCAAAAGTCTACAAGCAATAAATGCTGGAGAGGGTGTGGAGAAAAGGGAACCCTCTTACACTGTTGGTGGGAATGCAAATTAGTACAGCCACTATGGAAAACAGTGTGGAGATTTCTTAAAAAGCTGGAAATAGAACTGCCATATGACCCAGCAATCCCACTTCTGGGCATACACACCGAGGAAACCAGATCTGAAAGAGACACGTGCACCCCAATGTTCATCGCAGCACTGTTTATAATAGCCAGGACATGGAAGCAACCTAGATGCCCATCAGCAGACGAATGGATGAGGAAGCTGTGGTACATATACACCATGGAATATTACTCAGCCATTAAAAAGAATTCATTTGAATCAGTTCTAATGAGATGGATGAAACTGGAGCCCATTATACAGAGCGAAGTAAGCCAGAAAGATAAAGACCATTACAGTATACTAACACATATATATGGAATTTAGAAAGATGGTAACGATAACCCTATATGCAAAACAGAAAAAGAGACTCCGATGTATAGAACAGACTTGTGGACTCTGGGAGAAGGCGAGGGTGGGATGTTTCAAGAGAACAGCATCGAAACACGTATATTATCTAGGGTGAAACAGATCACCAGCCCAGGGTGGATGCATAAGACAAGTGCTTGGGCCTGGTGCACTGGGAAGACCCAGAGGGATCGGGTGGAGAGGGAGGTGGGAGGGGGGACCGGGATGGGGAATACATGTAAATCCATGGCTAATTCATTTCAATGTATGACAAAACCCACTGCAATGATGTAAAGTAATTAGCCTCCAACTAATAAAAATAAATGAAAAAAAAAAAAAACTAAAAAAAAAAAAATGTCCAAGTAAGTTGCAACTGTTAAATGTATTGAAAAGATAAATCTTATTATTTTCAGCTTCATTCTTTATCATCACCAGTATTTGGAGTGATCCCACACTGTTTGTGGTACGTCCTTTCTCAAAACTCATATAAATGATGCTATATGGGAATAGCTCTATGAGACGCAATATGAAAACCATTCCCCTAGAAGGACCCAGGATGGGGAATCTGTTTGGTAGGCATTTGGTTTATTATCCCAATCAGTTTCCTACTTGTAGAATAATGAGGGACAGGAACTTCTCTGGTGATCCTGTGGATAAGACTGTGCTTCCAATGCAGGGGGCACAACTTCAATCCCTGGTTGGGGAACTAAGATCCCACACAGTACAGCCAAATAATAATAATAATAATGGAGAATGCATTTTATGATTAATCCTTCTATAGGTAATCAAAGATATGAAATAATTGAATTTATCTGATTATTAATGTACATATTTCATCAATATTAAAATAAAAAATAAAAGTAGAATTGTTATATATTTCTTAAAAAGTTATAGGAACTATAGCCAAAAAATAAGGAAGGAAGATGTTTATATCAGAGACCCGAATCATGAATAACTGTTACAAATTAATACCAACTTAACCTTCTAGAAACCAAGCCAAGAAGAGAAGAATATGAGTCCCATGGTTCTTTGTATCTACCAAGTGGAAAAAAACCCTAAATTCATCCAGTCAAAGGAGTTTTTCCCTTTATTGTGGCATTTGTGTGCTTTGTTTTTAATAATAAAAAATGCTTAAGAGATACTTATTCTAATTATTTGCCAAAAGGATAGTGATCATCTGTTTTATAAAGCTTTAGAAGTTTTCACTCATCAAGAGAACTAGCTGAACTCCTGTGAGGTCTGGTCTTGTGAGGTGTTTTGATGGATGGGGAGCAGTAGAGTCCATGTGTGTGGCGTTCTGCTGATGTGACTTGGTAGCACGGTAGGACCTGGGGAGGCAGAAGAGGAAGTGATGAGCTCCATCCAGTCTTCTGTATAGACAAGGCTTCAGATGTTTTATGATTTGAGGGTGCACATGAGCTGGAGTCATTCAATAGTCTTGTTGGAAAAAGCAGGTCTCTGGTACATTCAAAGAGGGGTTGTTCCAGAAGGAACATGTGATTAAGATTTTCTCTCCACACAGAAGTGAAGAGAAGGGCACCTCCTGAGGCCTTTTTTATGAAGAAACAGTACAAGATTTTCTCAGTGTTTCATCTGAAGAGTCTGAAAACTTTGGCCCCATCCCTGTGGAATATTGGAATTTTTGGTACCATAGTAGGCTGCAGGAATGTTAGACTGTAAATTCAATCCAGATACCCCCTCCTCCACACCCCAGATAACCACATGTGGTGGCTAGTTGATTGGAATTGTCTATGTTCTCTCTCTAAGTGGTGTGTCTGTGCCATAAATAATAACACTGCTGTTTTCTCTAGATAGTAACTGATAGTATATCTTAAGGTCACTGCTGGAACCACCAGCAAAACAAAGGATACCATACATCTGTTTTGTAAGGACATCTGTTTTGTAAGTTCACTTGTCTGACTGCAGTGGCCAGAAGGCATAAACCCGCTTCTTTGTGCTCTGAAGGACTACTGAAGTCCTGAGGTTTTGCTTCAGATCCTGCTGCCTAGTTGCCTCTAGAAGATTAGGCTGACATTTTCATCTGAATGATGAATATGCAGCTGATTATAATGGGTTTATTGAGAACATTTTTGCAAAATTGACCATAGCAATAGTCACAGAGCAGTGCATAAAACCTGGATGGCGTTTGATTGCGTTTCTCTAGCCAATTCTTTTTTGTTTTTAAACTTTTTATTTTGTATTGGAGTATAGCCAATTAACAAACAAACGTTGTGATGGCTTCAGGTGAACAATGAAGGAATTCAGTCATACATATACATGTATCCATTCTACTCCAAACCCCTCTCCCATCCAGGCTCACTTAACATTCCATGTGCTACTCAGTAGATACTTGTTGATCATCCATTTTAGATACAGCACTGTGTACATGTCCATCCGAAAGTCCCTATCTTTT